TCTGCTAGTTATCAATCAATTTATCATTAACAAATTTCACTTGAAGGTATCATTCCCAAAGTTATTTGGTGATGCCTACTTGCTATAACCAACCTAGACAGCATATTAAAAAGCAGAGACATTACTTCGCTGACAAAGGTCTGTCTAGTCAAAGCTATGACTTATCCAGCAGTCATATATGGATGTGAGAGTTGGACTATAAAGAAAGTTGGGCAGCGAAGAACTGATGCTTTTGAACTGTGGTGTTGGAGAAGACTCTTCAGAGTTCCTTGGACTGCAAGGAGATCAAACCAGTCAATCCTAAAGGAAATAAGCCCTGAATATTCATTGGAAGGACTGATGCTGAAGCTGAAACTCCAATATTTGGCCACCTGATGCAAAGAACTGAGTCACTGGAAAAGACTGTGATGCTGGAAAAGATTGAAGGCAGGAGGAGAAGGGGATGACAGAGGATGAGATGGTTGGATGGCATCATTTTTAAATGACATATATTCTAGTTGCCTTAGACTTAAAAAAAGTTTCACAAGAGTAGATTATAATGTGTCAAATTTATCGTTCACCCCATTTAGGCAACAGCTGTGTTGAATGTACAATCTGTTTTAACAATTCCTATAATCTTCTGTGGTATTTTGGGTTGGTATATTTCTAATGTCTTTTACATCCACACTTGTACAACTTTCTTAAAAGTTAAGAATCAGGTTTTATGGTCACTCTATTAATTTTCATCCTGCTTTTCTCAACCATTGTGCCAAAATCCTTATTGGATCTCAATTCAGACATTCAACACAGCAGTAACCCTTCCTTAGTTTATGTATTTTCCTTAATGTGATAACCATACCAACTAAGGCCAAGCAAAAAGCTCTGTGATTCATTACTCTGTCTGTGAGTCAACGTGCTCTATACATACTTCTTTTATTTGCTCCATTTCTAAAGTATCCACAAAGTTAAGAGGGAATTGAATCTTTTCTTATTAATAGTATAGGTAATACGTATGGGATTGATCAGCATTTATCTATCTATTCATTCATTTACATATATATTTTATATTATTTTCATATCATTTCAAAATTAGAAGGATTACATATTTTAAATGTAGCTGTGCTATATTTTAAATGTAGCTGTGTCTGACTCTTTGCCATTCCATAGAGAGTAGCCTGCCAGGCTCCTCGGTCCATGGGGATTCTCCAGGTAAGAATACTGGAGCAGGTTGCCATGCCTGCCTCCTGGGGATCTTCCTAACCTAGGTATTGAATCCAGGTCACCCACATTGCAGGTGGCTTCTTTACTGTCTGAGCTACCAGTGAAGCCCCAAATTAGAAGGATTACATATTTTAAATGTAAAATTGACTCTGAATGTTAAGGGATGCCGTGACAGTTAATTTTGTGTCAACTTTGCTAGGCTTTGTGTGTGTGTGTGCCTGTGTGTTAATGGTGTGTCTGACTGTGTGAGACCCTGTGTGATGTAGCCCACCAGGCTCCTCTGTCCATGGAATTCTCCAGGTAAGAATACGGGAATGGGGAGCCATTCCCTTCTCAGGAGTATCTTCCCAATCCAGGGATTAAACCCAAGTCTCCTGCATTGCAGACAGATTCTTTACCATCTGAGCCACCAGGGAAGCCATTGCTATGCATGGTATTCAGATATTTGGTCACATACCAGTCTAGATGCCACTATGGAGGAAATTTTTAGATGAGATTAACATTTGAGGAAAGCAGATTACTCTTCATAATGTGGATGGGCCTTATTCACTTTACTGAAAGCCTTAAGAGAAAAGAGAGCTCCCACAAGGAAGAGAGAAATCTGCATCCAAACTGCCTTTGACTCAAGCTACAATATCAACTCCAGCCTCAAAGACTTCCCTGCAAACTTCAGACTTGCCAGACCCTAATTTCTTAAAAATCAGTCTCTATCTGTCTATCTCTCTCTACATACAAACACACACATCCTATTGGTTCTGTTTCTCTGGAGAACTCTACTAAGTGACCTTCAGCATTATTCCCAAGCCAAGGTTGGGGTGCTCTAGAGGGATGCATCAGAGGGGGCTTCTGTATCAGAAAGATACCTAACATAGTTATGTAACGATGTTCCCATAGTCTGGATGATGTCTATGATCATTTTCAATGCTTCATGACTGCTAGTGATCTGTTCTTCCTAATCAGTATGATCTTTGGATGTCACACAGCTTATTGTTCAGATGAGCCTATCTGAAACAGCCTGGAGTAGGAAATGGCAACCCCCTCCAGTATTCTTGCCTGGAAAATTCCATGGACAGAGGAGCCTGGCAGGCTACACTCCACGAGGTTACAAACAGCCGGACATGACTAAGCACATACATACACATAGCTGAAACATAGACAACTGACAAAAAATACTGATAAAAAATTATAATGACCTTTATTACTGTTATGGGGCTTCCCTGATAACTCAGTTGGTAAAGAATCTGCCTGCAATGTAGGAGACCCCAGTTTTGATTCCTGGGTTGAGAAGATCTCTGGAAAAAGGATAGGCGACCCATTCCAGTATTCTTGGGCTTCCGTTGTGGCTCAGCTGGTAAAGAATCCACTACAATGCGGGAGAGCTGGATTCGATCTCTGGGTTGGGAAGATCCCCTGGAGAAGGGTAGGGCTACCCACTCCAGTATTCTGGCCTGGAGAATTCCACGGACTGTATAGTTTATGGGGTCTCAAAGAGTTGGACACAATTGAGTGACTTTCACTTTCACTTTATTACACTTATACTGTGGGGTAACCTATACACCACTCTTTCACATGTCTATTATACTTGAATTTTCCAAACAATCATGACACATACATCTTATATTTTTATTGTAATTTCAAACAAAGAAATCACGATCAAAAGATACACACTTACTTAGGGAAAGAATTAGGACTAGACTCTGCAAGTCTTTTTACTTTAGCATCCCCTCTTATTTAAGATATGAATCCATGGAAATTGGACTGCTAAGGATTGAATTGTGTCCTTCCAAAATTCATGTGTTGAGGACTTAATCCCCAATGTGATAGTATTTGGATATGGGGCCTTTGGAAGATAACTAGGTTTACGTGAGGCCATGAAAGTGAAGACCTCATGATGGAATCAGTGCCCCTTTAAGAGCTAACTCTCTCTCATCCACCACATCAGGACACAATGAGAAGACAAGTCAGGAAGAAAGTCCCACTAACTAGAACTCTGATATGCTAGCACCCTGATCTTGGACCTCCAACTTCTAGAACTGTGAGAAATAAATTTCTATTGTTTAAGCTACCTAATCTATGGCAGCCAGTGCTAACTAATATACAGACTTACAAATTCTGGGTGTTACTGAATACTACAACCCATTCAAAGATTATATATTATGAAAATATATTTTAAAAAACAGACAAAATAATACTAATCAAAGAGAAAAATCATAAAAACAAGTGGGACTCAGACATGAGGCTACACCAGAATCCCTTGCAAAGTCTTCTAAGGTATATATTGCCAACCCCACACCCACAGTGTGTTATTCAACAAGTCAGGGTTGTGGTCCCAAATTGCACTTCTAAAAATAGTTCCCAGGTGACAGTGATACTGAATCATATTTTGTAAATGACTAGTATAGGCTGCTACAAGATGTAAATCACAAACTATTTAGAGCATTAATGCTACAGAAACACAAATCCGTGTGCCTGATGGGTTGGGAAGATCCCCTGGAGAAGGGTAGGGCTACCCACTCCAGTATTCTGGCCTGGAGAATTCCACGGACTGTATAGTTTATGGGGTCTCAAAGAGTTGGACACAATTGAGTGACTTTCACTTTCACTTTATTACACTTATACTGTGGGGTAACCTATACACCACTCTTTCACATGTCTATTATACTTGAATTTTCCAAACAATCATGACACATACATCTTATATTTTTATTGTAATTTCAAACAAAGAAATCACGATCAAAAGATACACACTTACTTAGGGAAAGAATTAGGACTAGACTCTGCAAGTCTTTTTACTTTAGCATCCCCTCTTATTTAAGATATGAATCCATGGAAATTGGACTGCTAAGGATTGAATTGTGTCCTTCCAAAATTCATGTGTTGAGGACTTAATCCCCAATGTGATAGTATTTGGATATGGGGCCTTTGGAAGATAACTAGGTTTACGTGAGGCCATGAAAGTGAAGACCTCATGATGGAATCAGTGCCCCTTTAAGAGCTAACTCTCTCTCATCCACCACATCAGGACACAATGAGAAGACAAGTCAGGAAGAAAGTCCCACTAACTAGAACTCTGATATGCTAGCACCCTGATCTTGGACCTCCAACTTCTAGAACTGTGAGAAATAAATTTCTATTGTTTAAGCTACCTAATCTATGGCAGCCAGTGCTAACTAATATACAGACTTACAAATTCTGGGTGTTACTGAATACTACAACCCATTCAAAGATTATATATTATGAAAATATATTTTAAAAAACAGACAAAATAATACTAATCAAAGAGAAAAATCATAAAAACAAGTGGGACTCAGACATGAGGCTACACCAGAATCCCTTGCAAAGTCTTCTAAGGTATATATTGCCAACCCCACACCCACAGTGTGTTATTCAACAAGTCAGGGTTGTGGTCCCAAATTGCACTTCTAAAAATAGTTCCCAGGTGACAGTGATACTGAATCATATTTTGTAAATGACTAGTATAGGCTGCTACAAGATGTAAATCACAAACTATTTAGAGCATTAATGCTACAGAAACACAAATCCGTGTGCCTGAGTCTCAGTGAGCCCAAACAATACCAAAATGTCAGAGTTTGGAAGAGAGAAAGGTTTACTGAGGGTCATGCAAAGACATGGATGGTTCATGCCTTAAAAAACCCCATAACTCCCTGAAAGCTTTCAGCAAAACCCTTTTCTAGGAAAGGTGAGGGTGGGGGTGAGGTTAGTTATTGCAAACTTCTGGATTTTAGATCCTTTGTTACTGAAGTTAGGTCATAGGTAATGATGTTCTGTAAATCTCTTACCAAACAAATGAATGTTATTCTCCACTCTGACAAGAAAGGGTCAGGTCCCCAGGCACAGTTTTCACCCTCTGAGGTCCAGTCCTAGCCAAGAGAAGGCAGATCTCAGTTGGCGGCTCCCTCAGGGCAAAATCCCCGGACCCTACCCAGCTTGTCATCGCTGAGGGAGCCAGGTGCCCGGGACCCAACCTGCCCTCAGGCTCCTCAGGCCACCCAGAAGCCAGGGGCCAGGTCCCACAGACTGCATCCTATGCAGACTGCAGACGCAACGAGGTCACAGAGGCTGTGATGGCGGCGTTCATCACCACCTCAAAGCCTGAGCCCCACCAGTGGGTGGCCTTGGCCAGGGCTCTGGAGCCCTGCAGGATACAGCCCCCAACCTGTTCGCGGGGTTCCCGCAGCCTCCCCACTGGCCCAAGGCCCAGTGACCTAAAGGCTCTCTGGGAGAAGGTGAGGGTCCGCCTCTTACCTCACTCTCCACCATCGGTTCACTCAGAGGACCACCATTCTTGGGACCATTAACTGAACAGGGCCACTAACGGTCCCTCAGTGACAAGCGCTTACCTGGGGCCCCACTGAGGCGCCGACCAGTGGCTGAGCGTGAGCACTAACTGTCCCTCAGTGACAGCTGCTCACGCGGCGAGGGGCCCACTGCTGGACCCAGTGATCTCGCGGGAAATCTTCTTAGGGTAACCTCACATAACTTCGCGGTAACTTCACGGTAACAGCTGCTTAGTGTGGGGCAACCAACGGCCACGTGCTAAGGACTGTGCACGGCCACACTCTACAACACTAAGAGTGCGTTTTAAATATACACATAAACACAGAACACCAAACTCCAAGATTTTAAACCTGGATATCTTGGCTAGGGCAGGTTTTCAAAAAGAAGTTTCAAAAATTTCTCCAATTTGTTTTAATAATCACCAGGTTTGGGAAATTAACAGCCTAAGATTATCAAATTAGAAAAAAGTTAAGTTTCATTTCTTTAATTACCTACAACAGGAAAACTAGGTAAAGACGTTATTTAGTAAAAGATTCTTTCAAAATTTTCTTAATATGAATTATAAAATTACAATGTTGCTGACAATACCAAGTTTTTATTTATAAAGTACACTGTCAGAAAATAGTTTGTTATTTTGAATATATTTGATATTTGTCATTAAAATTCTTGGATATTACTCATTTATTTAAGCCCTTTGATCCTGAGCAGGATAAATCTCCACTAGTCTAAACCTAGCCAGAGGGAAATCAACAGATAAAGCCACAATACTATCAAAGAAAGCACAAAATTATTTAAAAATGATCATCTGACTCACACAAAAAACTTTAACAGTGGTAAGCTTTAGTACTGTTTGCTTCATGAAATTAATGAATGAAATAATTATTGTTTAAAATATCAGTTATAATAAATACATAACTTAAAAATACATAAATGACAAATTGATATTTTACATAAATAGTATATACATAAAAATCTATCATAAGCAGTAATGCAAAGATGCTTGAGAATACTATATTTTATCTACTGAAAGAACTACAAGTAAAATCAGCTTGAGCATGGGTCAGAATTGTAATCAATAGAATGTATAGATATATAAGATAAATGTAAAGCCAAATGATCAGTAAAGGAAATTTGAACTGAATACCCAACGCCATTTTCTATATGTGAACTAAGGCAGCCGTCACTTGATTTCTCCTGGTCTCCTTCCTCAACTACAAGAAACTTCTTGTCCCTCAAGAAATTTCTTGCTTGAAGCAGAAATATAACACCCAAGATTCCATGAGTTTCTACCTTTCCTTATAACACTTATCTGCGTCTCCCTCTGTGAAAAGTGAACCTCAATCTCTACTTCTCAGTGTCAGTTCTTAGGATGCGTAAGGACAGACTCATAAACCAACAACCAACCCAATTTAGTAGAGTTTGGTTAATGTCTTTGCTGCAGATGTTTCTTCAGTTTCAAGAAAATGCATTCTGATATTAATATTTAAGAATTAGCATATATTAAGCCAACTGCTGGTGGCTCAGAGGTCAAAGCATCTGCCTCCAATACTGGAGACCCGGGTTCAATCCCTGGGTTGGAAAGATCCCCTGGAGAAGGAAATGGTAACCCACTCCAGTATTCTTGCCTGGAGAATCCCATGGACGGAGGAGCCTGGTAGGCTACAGTCCACGGGGTTGCAAAGAGTCGGACACGACTGAGCGACTTCACTCACTTAGATTTTTTGGACAGATAAATATTGTGAAAGAATAACAATTTCATGATAATCTTTCTTTATTATGCTCTTGATCTGCACTTATAGTAGCATTATTAAAGTATTCCATTTAGTCCCAATGATTTAATAAAAGGAAAACTTAGTTGTAGTCTAGCTACAAGCAAATGTTTATGCTTCAAAAACATATTTTGTATACAGTTAAGTGTAGGGTATTAGAAAAATGGGAAATGACTGAATTTGCTATATATAAGCACATCAGTTATTTGGACTTTAATTTTAAAAAAAGACAAGGACAAAATGAGGAGAAAATGTGTCATATAAATCTTTCAGTTTCCACACAATAAGTCTGAATAAGTATTGTTGTTGTTGTTTTCTGTGTAATATGGAGGTTTTAATAGTATTCTCTCTCTTTAATTCAGTATGTGTAGGCAGAGTAGGTTTTCCTTATATATAAAGGAAAACATAAAATTAGAAAGATAAAACAGAAAGAAAAAAATCAATGAAATAGCACAATGTTAAGAAGTAACGTTTAAGAGGAAATCAAAGGAAGGGAGAGCAGCTAAAAAGACCGAAAGAAAGATAAAGGGCAAAGGATTTAAAAATTAAACAGAAGAGAAAAGATTAAAGAAGGAAAGGCAAAAAGCAATGCAGCAGGATTTAAGAAGCCAGTAAAAAGAAAAGACATGCAGTGATGACAAAGGAATAGCAAGTGCCACAGAAAAGATACTCATAGTAATGAAAAGAATAGAGAAAAAAACAAAGTAGAAGCAGTCGAAAATTAATTGTAAACAGAATTTAAGAAAGATACAATGTTAACGGGCTTTCAGGTTTTTTTCCCCCTTCTTGGCTCTGTTATTGATGAAAAGAAAAAAATTAATGTTCAGGCACAGGAGATTTAGAACAGTAAGTCCACTGTTCAGAGACGCAGCAGGGTTCATACAAAATACACTGCCACTGGCAGGTTCTGTGATGCTGTTTGAGGAACTTACTTTTTCTGTCCCACACTACATCTCACAATTTTCTAATTTATATATTGAAGTCACTGCCTTATTTCTGAGGTCCTTTGACTAAATGGTGTGACTTTATACACAACCCATCATTGTCTCTGATTCTGAAATCACTAACTTATTTTAAGGTGAAATAAAATGTATCATAATGGACAAACTGAATTACAAATACACTCACCTTTAAATAATCAGCCTTTCTCGGCAACAGTAGTGCCAGTGAGAGTTTCAAAAATTTGAGGGGGTATTTTAGTTATCATAATGATGGGAATAGCTAATATTTAATGGATAAGGGTGAGGGATGCTAGATTTTTGCAATTTCCTGAGGGACATTCTTTTAGATAAAAACATGTTTATAATTAGTAGTTTAGGTACTAAATGCAAATGGGAAAGAGATGGGAATACCAGACCACCTGACCTGCCTCTTGAGAAACCTGTATGCAGGTCAGGAAGCAACAGTTAGAACTGGACATGGAGCAACAGACTNTTGAAAAGACCGTGATGCTGGGAAAGATTGAGGGCAGGAGGAGAAGGGGACGACAGAGGATGAGATGGTTGGATGGCATCACCAACTCAATGGACATGAGTTTGAGTAAACTCGGGGAGTTGGTGATGAACAGGGAAGTGTGGCGGGCTGCAGTCCATGGGTTCGCAAAGAATTGGACATGACTGAGTGACTGAATCGAACTGAACTGAATGCATGTTTAATAAATGGCTAAATGAAGTATAAAGCAAATAAAATTTTATCATCATTCCAACACAGTCCATAGTTCTCCTCTTATTGTGTACATTTATTTCTATTAAAGGGTAGAGAATATTTTCAGTATGTGGAAAGTAGAGTATGCTGATGTGATTACTTTAAATTTATACAGTACCTTTTCCAATTAGAATCTCTCTTCTAGCAATGTTAGGGTCAATGTAATATTAAATAGTAATGTATCAGTAACTACAGAAATCATAAAACCTTTACAGTGAATTTTTGTGTAAACAATGACAAGTGAAATACAAATCACTATTGACTGCCATGTACATTGTTCTAAAAAATAATCTAGATTACTTACAAAATGTAAAAACAAGTTAATCTGAGCCATTTTGGAAGACAGTTTTTGTAGTTCATTGCAAAGCTAAATATAGTTTTACCACACAACCCAGACATTATGCTCTACATTTCACCTAATGAGTCAAAAACTATATACACACCAAAGACTGCACATGAAAGGTTATGTATAATTATGCAGCTTATGTATAATTGCAAAAACTAGGAGGCAACCAATATATCCTTCAATAAGTCAATGAATAAACAAACTGTGATAAATTCATGCAAGGGGAGGTGGCCGTGCAGTGCTGTGCTGTGCCCAGTCATATCTGACTCTCTGTGGCCCCGTGGACTACAGCCCACCAGGCTCCTCCATCCATGGGAGTTCCCAGGCAAGAAAACTGGAGCGGGTTGCCACTTCTTACGCCAGTGGATCTTCCTGATCCAGAGATTGAACCTGCATCTCCTAGGGCTCTTGCATTGCAATTCTTTACCTAACCAAGCCACCTGGGAAGCCCCACAGGGAAGGTTATTCAACAGTATAAAGAAATGGATTATCAAACCATGAAAAGACATGGAGAAACCTTAAACATTCCTAAGTCAAAGAAAACAGTTTGAAAATGCTACATATTGCATAATTTCGACTACATGACACTGGAAAAGGTAAAACCATAGACAGTAAGACTAGATGTTGCCAGAGGTCTGAAGGGGAAGGAGAGGGAGAAGAATGAATAGGTGGAACATGGGATTTTTTTTAGGGCAATGATATTATTCTTTTTTCTTTATTTTCATTCCCCAACCAGGGACTGAACCCATACTCCATGCATTGG